CATACTTTATCCTAGTTTTCCTAGACTTTAACACTCCTGGCCGCTGGGTTTTAGATAAGAAACCACCTCACCCAGCTCACCCAGTGTGCATGTTCCTTCCCGTGCAGATCTACAACACCCTCCGAGAGGCCGTGTCGACCATGTACAGGACTGAGGGCCCCTGGGTCTTCTACAAAGGCTTGGCTCCCACCGTGATTGCCATCTTCCCCTATGCGGGCCTGCAGTTCTCCTGCTACCGATCCTTGAAGCATGCCTACGACTGGGTCATTCCGCCAGATGGAAAGCAAACAGGTGAGGACCCCCCACCCTGGCCTAGTCTGGGCCACAGCTTCTGTGAGCCTTGAAGACAATGATTTTCCTGTCCGGAGCACCTGGCTCTGTGGTCTAGCTCGCAGAACAAGCAAGCAAGTCTTGCCACTTTGGAGGGTACTTCCTTCCGGCTCTTACACACTCACCCGTGCACTTCTGGGAGCAATTGCACTTTTATGTATTTACTTATTTATTTAGCTTTTGTGGTTTCCATTGTTTGTGGGGAAAGGGGACTCATGGGCTCTGTCTCCAGGTGACTGCTCAGAGGGCCCTGCCATCCAGCTGGCTCACGTCCCTGGTCCCTGCTGTCAGTCTTGCTTCAGTGGCTCTGCCTGCCGCTAGCAATGGTCAGGTTGCCTCTCGAGAAGGAGAATTTTTGTGGGGCTCGGGTTCGTGGTGGAGTACTAAGTCTGATGACTTTTTTCTTTTTGGTTTTGTTTTTTTTGAGACAGGGTTTCTCTGTGTAATAAATAGCTCTGGTCATCCTAGAACTTGCTCTGTAGACCTGACTGGCCTCGAACTCAGAGATTTGCCTAGTTCTGCCTTCTGAGTGATTAAAGACATGCACCACCACTGCCCAGCTCTGATATTTTTAAAGATTTTTAATTACTTTATGTATGTCTGTGTATTATGTGTGTGCCTGGTGCCCTTGGAGACAGGGAGAGGTTATTGGAGTTACCAGCAGCTGTGAGCCATCATGAGGTGCTGGGGATAGAATCCAGGTCCTCTAGAAAAGCAGCCAGTGGTCTTAACTGCCGCGCAACCTCTCCAGCTCTGGTTTATTTTATGTGTCTGCATGTGTTATGGCATCTGTGTGTGTTGTGTGTGTGTATAAGGGTACACAAGGGGGCCAAAAGATTCCCTGGAGTTGTAGTTCCAAGCAATTGTGAGTTGCTGATGTGGGTGCTGAGAACAGAACTTGGTTTTCTGGAAGAGCAGCAAGTGCTTTACAACACTGAACACTCTCCCATCCCCTGTCCCCGTCCCTGTCATGTCTTCTACCTTCAATTGCATCCCTCTCAGCCTTCTCTTCAAAATGGTGTCTTTGGTTCAGGGAACCTTAAAAACCTGCTTTGTGGCTGTGGGTCTGGAGTCATCAGCAAGACCCTTACGTACCCCCTGGACCTCTTCAAGAAACGGCTGCAGGTGGGAGGCTTCGAGCATGCGCGATCTGCCTTCGGCCAGGTAAGTCATCCTGTGTGCAGAGTGCTCAAGTCCTTGCCCTATTGGACAGTGAGGGAACCAGCCCTGCCCCCTCTGGTGTGGGTTTTCACAAGATGCTCAGTGAATTCCTGATAAGGAGACTTGATATTGATAAACACAGTCTCTTTCCAGAGGTCATGAGTCTGGTAGCTATAGGTCTTAGAGATGGCATCAAAGGTGGCTTTGGCAAAGATGCCCTGGGTGGCAGTGCAGCCCCTGGCTGATGTGCAGCAGACATCAATACTGGCCATCAGCAGTAGCTTCTTGGGCACAGGAGCAGAGACTATGCCAGTGCCTCTGGGGGCAGGGATGAGATGCACCAACACAGAGCCACAGCAGCCTGTCACCTTGCATAGAACAGTGTAAGGCTTGTCAGTCTTGTTCCCCCAGTAGCCTCTCCGCACAGGGACAGTGGAAAGCTTTGCCAAGACGATGGCCCCTTGGAAGGCAGTGGCTACCTCTATGGAGCACTTAACACCAAGACCAATATGACCTTTGTAGTCCCTACTAGCGACAGAAGCCTTGGACCTGGTCCACTGGCCAGCCTGATTCTGCTTCTGCACTGGCATGACCCTTAGACCCTCGTCCTTTAGGAATACTCCCAGGAAAAAGTCAATAATCTTGGGTTCTTTAATGGGCAAGAGAGCAGGGCACTGGTTGGGGAAGACCTAGTGATGGCCAGATTCAGACCTGCTGCCCAAGGGGAACCACGTGTAATGGGGTGAAGGCTCCAGGATGGCCCACAACTATCACTGTATCTGCCAGAACCACGGGCAGGTACCCCTCACCAGGAAGGAGCCTGCTCCAGCTCAGTTAAGCCTGACCTAGCCCACATCCCCAAAAATGAAGAATTTCACTCTTGCTAATCTAGGGAGCAGTTACTGGAAGCTGTGCTGTGCTGGATGAACCCCATTTTAATCACTGCTTCCTCCTCAACCTACACCTTCCTCTCCCCAGGTGCGGAGCTACAGGGGCCTCCTGCACCTCACCAAGCAGGTGCTACAAGATGAAGGCACCCAGGGCCTCTTCAAGGGCCTGTCCCCCAGCCTGCTGAAGGCTGCCCTGTCCACGGGCTTCATGTTCTTCTGGTACGAGCTCTTCTGTAACCTCTTCCACTGCATAAGGAGAGAAGACAGATAGCCATGAGAGCCGAGCGGGAGGCACCTCCCCCAACAAGACTTGTTCCGAGCTCATTCTCTGCGATGGCTGCTGCCTGCTAGGCCTCCCAGGCTGGCTGCCCAGCGCAGGAAAAGTCACCCACAGCGGATGGCAGAAGGGCGGGACCTTTTCTGGAAAGAGCAGAGAAGGGAGCCCCATGGGCTGTAGAAGCAAGGCCCCAAGAAGGAGCCTGGCATTGGTCCTCTGTCCAGCCCTAAGGGAATCAGGCATCCTCTGCTTTGTAGTCCTGTTTTGGGGGAAAGTCTCCCAGTCCTGGTAAGAGCGAAGCTTGAGTACAGAGGGATAGGACTGGGCTCTTTGTAGACGTCTAAGCCCCACAGCTTGGTCTGTTTCTCCTACCAACTTATTTAATAGACATTAAAGCAAAAGGCACATTCTGTATGTCACTCGAGGATGATGGGAGGGGCCCTCTGCTGTCCCTGCAGTTGCGGCCCTGAGGCAGCCATGCTCTTCAACGTAAGGGGTGAACCCTACCACGTGGGGAGCTTCTGAACCCCCCAGTTCCAGGCCTTTGTGGCTGTGAGGCTCCAGGACTGGACAGGAAGGACGCCGGACAAAACTAGCTTGTAGGCAGAAAGCAGGAAGTAAAAAAGGGGGCGTGCTGGCCCTGACCCTCAGTCTTGTCAGTGGCTCCTCTGCACTGGGTCAGCTCAGCATGAGTGTCGCACATGTGAGTCCCCAAAGGGCCCAGCCACATAGCAGTCCAGAGAGATGTATCTATAAGAAGAGGAAAAACTTTTATTAGGGGCTCAAGAGAAGAAATACACGGTGACCATCTTTTCCGAGCTCCTGCCTGTCAGTGAGTCTGGCAGAGGGAAGGGAGGAGAGATCCCTTGACTGGGATTCCACCCCCTGAATAACTGACTGTAACAGCCCTGTTCATGGAAGCTGGGACTTCTGCCCAGCACCAGCCTCGGTCCCCTCCTCTACAGTCCCGTTGTACCCTGCCCTTCTCTGACCTTGGCTGTGGATTCTCAAGGTCCAGGCTGCTCTTGGGAGGGTTTCTGAGGTGGGTGGGCTCTTGGCTTCCTGGGCTTGGCTTCCTGGGCTTGGGGCAGAAGTGTAGTGTGGTCCTCTTCCTAGAGAAGTGTGAACTGATGTCTACTCCAGAGGATGACAGACCAATGTGAAGATGCTACCTGTCGACAGGTTTCCATTGCTGCCCTGAAGCATCAGGACCAGGAAGCTGGTTGGGGCAGAGAGGGTACATTTGGTTTACGCTTCCACATCACTGTTCATCATTAAAGGAAGGCTGGACAGGAACTCAAGCAGGGCAGGAGCTGATGCTGAGGCCATGGATGAGGGCTGCGCACTGGCTTGCTCAGCCTGCTTTCTTATAGAACCCAGGACCACCAGCCCAGGGGTAGCACCACCCACAATGGGCTGGGCCCTCTCCCATCAGTCACTAAGAAAATGCTCTCCAGGCCTGCCCACAAGCCCCACCCTATGGAGGCATTTTCTTAATTGAGGTTCCTGCTTCCCACATGGCTTTAGTTTGGTATAAAACTATTTAGCGCACAGGGCTGGAGAGATGGTTCAGCCGTTAAGGGCACCCCCAGGTTCAATTCCTAGTATGCACATGGAGGCTCACAACTGTGTGATCCAGCAGCTCAAAGTGATTTGACACCCTCATATACATAAATGCCGGCAAAACACCAATGCACATTAGATAAATAATTACAAAAAACACACAAAACTACCACACTACCAAAGTCCAATTTTCTGAACCAGTGAGGTTGATAACTCTGGAAAGCCCGAGGCATGGAGCACACCCAACAGCCTGCAGGCAGCCCAAGAGATTGAAGACTCCACCAGGCAGCTCAGTTGGTCAACTTTCTTCAAGTCAACTTGATCAGTCCTGCCAGGCAGCCCAATTCTCATCGCACCCGAGCCTTTTTCAGGCTGCCCCTCGGCAATCCGCATTGCTTCTGTAGGTTGTTCGCTTCCCTAGAACCTCCAGTATTTTTTTTTTCTTTCTACTTTTTGAGGCAGTTTGTTTCTTCTCTTAGTTGTCCCATCTTAACCTGGAGGTTTTAGAGTCAGCTTCTGGATGTTTTAGTTTGCTTTTTTTATGAAGTAAATTCCATGCTTCTCCGGAGCGAGATTTGGCTCCTGATCTCCTGTGTAGTGTGGAGGCCACAGTGGTGCCTTATTCTCGAATTGTCCCTTGGAGTTGAAAGTTGTTTTGCCCGGGTGGCAAGAGAGGGAATTGCCAGGGTGTGCCCCAGCCCATACACACTTTAACTAGCCGAACCCCAGATGACGGTGCTGAGCCCTCTGCGATTGACCCGCCCCTTCTCCCGGGCAGGCCACGCCTCCCCGAGGCTCCTCCCACGCCGCACGGCCGGGGAGTCTCCGACCCAGTTCACCTGAGCCCCGCAAGGGACATGGTGACCCTGGCGTGGGGTGCGAGCCGGCAAGACCGAGGGCTTCATGCGGAAGGGGGAGCAAGTCCGGCCGAGCGCTCGAGGGTCTCTACAGTCAGAAACAAGGCGGAGGCGCGCCCGGTGAGGAGGGGACAGGGTCCGGTGAGCGTTCGGCGCGGCGGTGGCCGTGTCGGTGTCGCAGAAGCGGGGTGCGAATCTGTCTCGGCGCCAAGCGAGGGAGCGGCCCGGGGCGGCGGCGGGGTGCGGAGGCGAGGACGGGCCGTGGCCGGCAGGGGGCGCGGGCGAGCAGCTCAGGCTCAATGCGAGGTTGAGCTCAGCTTCCGCGCGGTACCACGCCGGGCGCGCGCTGCGCAGCCCCGGAGACGCGGACGCCCTCCCACGCCGGCTAGTGCGAGCCCAACGGCCGCAGGGGTGGGTTTGGTAGGCTGAAAAGGACTGGCAGACACTGGGGAGAAGGGCTCGAAGCCCTGCTGGTGTCAGGATTCGCGGCTTGGGCAACGCCGGCCAAGGAACTGCGCCAGAATTCTCCGTGCTGGATAATTTGGGCGAGTCTGATATTTACCTCTCCACAACCCAGTTCAGAATATGCTCCCCTAAACTTATCCCGGTACTAATAACCCAGACCCTGCCGCGACCGTAGGTGAATTCCCGCTTCGTTTCTCGTATGTAATCGCAGAAGAACCCAGGGTTTCCTTAATTTGAACTGCAGGTGCCTACTTGATGCTCAAAGTCCCCACCAGAAGCCAAGTTTGGTGGGCTCGCAGCCAACCACCGAAGGCGACAGAAAGTCCTGTTACACCTGTCCCAAGCCCTGGCCTGCTCTGACCCAGTGCCGACAGGACTAGAATCCGGAGCGCTGCGATTCTCACTTGAAGCCTCTTCGGCCTTTGCTTCTCAGGTGCTGTCATTAATTTCAGGCCAGTGAAAAGTGACTGGGGCTACACAGTCATGGGAGAGCCCAGTAGAGATGAGTATAAAATCCAGTCTTTTGACGCAGAAACCCAGCAGCTGCTGAAGACCGCCCTCAAAGGTGAGCCTAACTAGCCCTTCTGTTTGGGCAAGAGCTTCGGAGGGGCTGAGTCCCAGAGCCTGGCAATGCCCAGCCTTCCCGTGGCTCCCCGAGAGGAAGTCACAACCTAACTCTTGAACTGGAAGACGAGCTACACCTAGATCATTATTTTTGAGAATGAATCACGGAGTCCTACGATCATAAAGCGTTTAAGTGCCCATGAAAGAGAACACAGGCTTCGGTTTAAAGCCTCCGCGTTCAATGCAGTCAGCTCTCAGCTCCCTTAAATGTTCAGAGCTGTCTGATTGGGGACTGAGTTGGGGAGTCAGCTTGCTGGAAGAGGCCCGTGCCCTTCCATGGTAACCTCAGAACAGAAGTGTGACTTAAATTCCATTGGGGAAGTCTCGGCACAGAGCTCATGTCTGGGGCCTCTGCATTTTGAGAATACTTGGTGCCAGGCGGTGGTGCACAACTGTAATCCAAGCAGATTACAGAGGCAGGAGGATTAAGCACAAATTTAAGGCCAACCTGCTCTACATAGAGTGCCTGGGGGAGGGGAAAGAGCCCAATAGTTTAGAGCACTGATTGCAAACCAGGCTTGGTGCACACCTTTAATTTCAGCACCGGGGAGGCAGAGGCAGGAGATCTCTATGAGTACCAGTCTGGTGTGATTAGCTATATAGTGAATTCCAAGATAGCCAGGACTACATAGTGTGACCTAGTCACACACGGAAAAAAAAAAAAAAT